GAGTGCAAGCACGAGGTCTCCAAGCTCCGAGGTGCCCTCGATGAGCAGCGATACATAGCGGCCGAGGTGCAGGATGACCCCGGGGGGAGGAGGAGGGGGCGAATGACGAGGAGGAGGAGGAGGAGGAGGTGGAATTGGAGGAGGAGGTGGAGGAGGAGGAGGATGCTGGATTTTGTTTCTCCGTCGTGTTCTTGGCAATTTTCGGCATTTGGAGGCCCGTCTGGGCACTTGGATCGTCAAACATCGATCCAGGGTGATTGGCCAGATCGGCCCCCGTGACGGGTCCAGGGACAAGAGGGTCCAGGGACAAATGTTGAGCGGATTTTGGCAGTGATGATGATGATGATGATGATGATGATGATGATGATGATGATGATGATGATGATGCTGATGCTGATGATGATGATGATGATGATGACGATGAGCAGGAGGAGGATGAGGATGCTGGTGGTGGTGATGATGGTGATGCTGATGCTGATGGCGATGATGATGATGATGATGTTGATGAGGATGGTGATGACAAGGATGAGGATGAGGATGATAATGAGGATGAGGATGCTATTGCTGATGCTGATGCTGAGGATGATGATGATGGTGGTGTTGATGATGCTGATGCTGCTGATGATGATGAGGATGAGGATGAGGGTGAGGATGCTGATGATGCTGATGATGATGGTGATTATGAGGCCGATGATGATGATGATGATGATGATGATGATGATGATGATGATGTTGATGATGATGATGATGATGATGATGATGATGATGATGATGATGAGGGTGAGGGTGAGGGTGAGGGTGATGTGAAGGTGACGGTGATGGAGGTGGTGGTGATGATGATGAGGATGATGACGATCATGGTGATACTGATGATGACAATGATGATGCTGATTCTGATGATGAAGATTCTGCATAGGAGGCTGATGATGATGACGATGATTGTGACATTGATGCAAGGATGGTGAACGTATGACGATGTTGTTGATCATGGCGATGATGATGCTGGTGATGACGATGATGATGCTGCTGATGATGATGATTCTGAATCTGATAATGATGCTGATGATGGTGATGATGATGATGATGCTGATGAGCAGGAGGAAGAGGAGGAGGATGCGGATGATGGTGGTGGTGGCGATAGTGATGGTGATGGTGATAGCGATGGCGATAATGATGATGCTGATGAGGAGGATGAGGATGAGGATAAGGATGATGATGAGGATGAGGATGAGGATGCTGATGCTGATGCTGATGATGATGCTGACGATGATGATGATGATGATGATGATGATGATGATGATGATGATGATGATGATGATGCTGATGATGATGATGATGATGCTGATGATGATGATGATGATGATGATGATGCTGCTGATGATGATGATGATGATGACGGTGGTGGTGATGATGATGATGATGGTGATGCTGCTGATGATGAGGAGCATGATGATGATAATAATGATGATGTTGATGCTGATGATGGTGGTCATTCTGAGGCCGACGATGCTGCTTATGATGATGATGATGCTGATGATGATGATGATGATGCTGATGCTGCTGATGATGATGATGATGATGCTGATGATGATGATGATGATGATGAGTGTGAGAGCGGTGTGAGGGCCATGGTGATGGTGGTGGTGATGATGGTGAGGATGATGAGGATGATTGTGATAATGATGATGATCATGACGATACTGATTATGATGATGATGCTGACGCTGATGCTGATGATGAGGAGAGAGTATGATTACGAGGCTGATGGTGATGGTGGCTATGGGGAACTTATGATGATGCTGTTGGTGATGATGACGATGATGATGCTGACGATGACGAGGATGCTGCTGATGATGGTTGTGATGACGCTGATGATGCTGATAATTATGCCAATGATGATGATGACGATGATGATGATGATGCTGATGATGACAATGATGACGATGATGATGATGATGATGATGATGATGCTGATGATGATGATGCTGGTGATGGTGATGGTGATGGTGATGGTGATGCTGCTGATGATGATGATGCTGATGCTGATGCTGATGCTGATGATGATGCTGCTGATGATGATGCTGATGCTGATGATGATGATGATGATGATGATGATGATGATGATGATGATGATGATGATACTGATGGTGATATAAGTTCCGATGGTGGTGGTGGTGATGATGATGATAAGTAGGACGACACGTGCACAGCTCAGTGTGCGGGAGTACAGGGCTCGCTTCGATTCCTCCCGTTCAATTCGATTGGACTTTGATGGGTTCCGATTCCGATTCGATTCGGCTTGTCATTGGAAGCCCCTTGTATAGCCTGCCGATGTCCGCCGATTCGACTTCTCCCGACCCGGTTTCCCTTTTCCGCCGATCCGATTCACTTCGATCGCCGATCCGACTTCTCGATTCGATTTTGGTCTCTCCCTGGGAGTATGGCAGGGAGGCATCGAGTAACGCGACGCCTCCTATAGCTGTTTTGGTTCAAGTTGCCCAAAGCGGCTTCGGGCGGCGTCCCCCAACCCGCCACGGCGGCCCTGCGGTAGAGGCTTGCCTCCGACCCAGGGCTGCCAATGCCGTGCGCGGCGGGCGATGCCCCGCAGCCCGGCGGGCGGGCTGCTGCGCGGCGAGGGTGCCGCCTGATTAGGTGTAAATTTCCGCTCCGCCCTGCGGGGCGCTGGCGGTGCCGGTCGCCTTTCGGGGCAGGGTGCGGGCGCGCAGGCGCGCAGAGCAGGCGCCAGTGAGCGTTCCCGCCTGCAGCCAAGAGCCCCGCGGGGGCGAGGGGCCGTGGGCGCAGGCATGGGCCTGTAGCTGTATAACAAGTATGTTTCAACTTTGAAGTCTATCTTTACTACGGAATCATACATATCAGCCATCATCGTTTAATATCGGGGGAGCGTAAGACCCGGGTTTGCCAGGACTTGGGTTCGCCATCGTTTTTTGACGACCGCGCCTCGGATTTTGACGAGGAGGAGTTTCGTGGGATGTCTGCAGCGGGAGGCCTCGTCAAAATGCAGGCTCGGCCTCGCCATTTTTTTGACGACCTCGTCGGGGATTTCCGAGTCCCCCGTACCCGGGTCTTACGTCTCCCCGATAATATTCTTTCCCCCGAGGCGATCGGGCGCGGAGCGCCACGGTCCGCAAGCGGCCCGCGCCCGCGAGCCTCCGGCGGCCCAGGGCGCCAGCCGCGAGTGGGGCGTTTTTCGGGGTCTGCCGGTCGGGCCTGGGGGGGCCGAGCCCTCGGGCGCCGCGTGCCCTGGCGAGGTCGGCCAAGGCTCGGGCAGTGGAGGGGCGTCCTGGCTCGCCTGGAGGCCCACCAAAGAATGCTCTAAAAACGTTTTGCCTTCTGCGCGAAATGTTCTCATACCATGCCTGGCGGAGTCTGTCTCGTTTTGGGCCAGTGGTCTTCTGTTCTAAGAGTGTTGTTCTTATTATTGGAGCATTTTTGGGTTCTAAGAACATGTCACTTATAGGAATGCCGGGACGGTCGGTCCCTGCTCAAAAGGCGGCCTGGAAGAGTGAATCCGAGGCTGCCGCGGTGAACGCGGCAACCGCGAGGCGCAGGCCCCGCGGCGCGAAGAGGGCAAACGCAAGCAATCAAGGCAGGGCCGCGCCGACGGCGCCGCGGGCGCCGATGGCGAGGAGGCAGGGCCTCCTCCTCGTCAGCGCCCGCGGGGCGGGAATACGGCAAAGAGGGGGGCCCTGAGGGGTCGTCCGAACTCCCGCGGGGGGCAGCCTGAGCGTGGATTGCGGCGGGCGACCAGGGGTGGTTCACCCCCAGTTTTCACTCGGCGCTTCCTCGGGCAGGCGAAGATCTCGCATCCTTCGCTCGCCGATGCCCGAGGCGTCTTCTGCAGTTGACGATTGAGGCGGTCGAGCGCTGCATGGGCGCCCGAGGAGGGGAGTCGTGTCAGATCCCGTCAGAAACCAGGTTTCTTACGTACCTCGCGACCGTGATCCGCGCGCAATGCCCCCCACCTGGCGACGCTGGGCGAGATGGGTCATGAGATGAGGGCCCTGGCCGAGGTTTTCGGCGCCGTCCTCATCCCCGATTTGTGCGTGCAGCGGTTCAAGACGACCGAGGTCAGGGCCCAGGGCGGCCGCGTCGCTTCGCCGCGCAGTGCGAGCTCATTCCTCGGCGTTCGACCAGTCTCGCAGCTCCGTCGGAGCAGATGCTGGTCGGCCACGCAGAGGGCGAAACACAGCGAAATCGTGGAGAAATCCAAGAAGGCAGAGCGGCCCCCAAGCTGCAGAGCCGGGAGCCTCGCAGAGACACTGCCCGAGGCGACCCGTCTGACATGCGCGGCGGCGAAGACGGAGGCTCGGCGTCAGAACAAGACGGCGCCGAGCGATCGCCGCTCCTTGCCTCCAGACCCCGCTGGGGCGAAAGCGGGCCCACCCGAGGGGGCGTCGGCGATGGCGAGCGGCAAGGGGAGTTGCGATGGCGCGAGGACGGGCTCGCAGGCGAATGGGTAGGGCGAGGCCCTGCAGGGGGCGCCCGCCTCGCCCCCACCCCCTCGGCCAGAGCCGCAGAGGAGGGTCGCGCTGACCCCCCGCGGCGAGAGCTGAGAGCGCAACGGGGTGGCAAGGCGGAAAGGAGGCCGCGCGCCCGAAGCTTGCCGCGCCGCCGCAGCCGCGTCCCTGATGCGAAGGTTCGTGGCAGGGCTACTTGCGCCCAAGCGGGGGCCTCGCCGAGGCAAGTTTCGCTGCCCGCGAGCATGGGGTAGGCCTTGCGCAGCGCGCGCCCGACGAGCAGTGCGACGTCGCGAAGATCGGGGCTCAGGTCTTGCGGATGGCCCTCCCGTCCGACGCTGGGCTGGTCGAGAGGGCGCGACGGGCGTTCAACGAAGAGCGCCGCGCAGGTCGAGAACGCCGGTCGTCGGTGAGACGTCTTCCCGCCACCCCGTGCCCGGCGATGGCGAGTGCATCAGGGCGCTCTTCAGGCGCCTGGAGGGCCCGAAGAAACGCCGGACGGCGCGCGGCGGCGACGAGTGGCGGGAATTCTGGTGGAAGGGCGGGGTCTGCGCTTGGACTTGCGCGCAGGTCCTGCTGACCAATGCGATCGGG